AAAAAAAAAAAAAAAAAAAAAAAAAAAAAAAAACGTGAAGAACTTGCCAAATGAGTGGTGGCGGGCAATTACGTGCGGGACTGTTGCATATGCTAAGATTGGGTATCCAATCCCAACTCACTTTCGCCGAACTCATCGGATCCAACTCCATTTCCTCTCCCATCCAACTCCTTCCTCCTTTTCGCTTCCGATCAAAAAATGGACCTTTCAGTCTCAGCCTCTGACTCTCCACTTCTGAACGACACCGTTGATGGCGCCGTCGATTTTCAAGGTCACCCAGTTCTCCGATCATCCTCCGGTGGTTGGAGGTCCGCCTCTTTCATGATAGGTAACACCACTTACTTTCACCAGCTTCTCATACATTTACTCGGTTTGTGATGGCGATGTTGTCAATTTACCATCAATTTAGGAGTGGAGGTCGCCGAGAGATTTGCTTACTACGGAATCGGTGCCAACCTCATTACTTACCTCACCGGGCCACTTGGTCAGTCTGTGGCCACCGCCGCCGAAAGTGTCAACATCTGGTCAGGCATCTCCATGCTATTCACTCTCCTCGGAGCTTTTGTCGCTGATTCCTTCTTCGGACGATATCGCACCATTCTTTTTTCTTCTGCAATTTACGTCTTGGTCTGCTCTCTATCTTTCTTCCTTGTTTCATTTTCCTTTCAATCAGATTTCTGAGTTCATACTCTGATCCACTTACAGGGACTAGCCTTGCTCTCTTTCTCTGCTCTGCTTCCCACAACAACCTCCCTCCTCTGTCAGAACTCTAACGAAATTTCATCATGTTCCACTCCCCAGTTTCAGCTTATGTTGTTCTTCGTCTCTCTGTATCTAATAGGGGTAGGGCAAGGTGGACACAAGCCTTGCGTACAGGCTTTTGGAGCCGATCAGTTCGATGCCCAACACCCTCAAGAGGCCAAATCCAAAAGCTCATTCTTCAATTGGTGGTTCTTTGGTGTGTGCGCTGGTACCTTTGTAGCCATTTTGGTGGTAACATATACGGAGGAAAATCTTAGTTGGAGTTTAGGATTTGGAATTCCTTTCATTATGATGGTGATTGCATCGGTTGTGTTTGTATTTGGGAAAAACACATATCGTTATAGCGTCAAAAAGTACGACAAGAGCCCATTTGTGAGAATTGGTCGGGTATTTGTATCTGCAGCTAGGAATTGGAGAGCTTCTTCAACATTCATTTTTGGTCAGGAAGAAAGTGCAATAGACTTGTCGCAACAGAAAGCTGGACAATTCAGGTAAGAATATTACTGAATTCTTGCCCCATTTGAAAATGGAGTTTAGAGTAACTATTAACCTTAGATTATGCCTCATTTTCTCTAAAAGTCCATACAATTATTGAAATGCTAACATGAGGTAGAGTTAGTTCATAACGCTGGAAGTGTAGCACCAAATTTATGACCAATTAATAGTTAGAGTTTTCATCCATTTGATCAAGAAATTCAGTTACTCAGGTAATAGGTTCACCATGAAATGAAGTGGGTGGAATCCTGTGGAGTTGAATCAAATTGCAAATTTGTTAACTTATAATGTTGAAGTATATCTAGTTGAATCAGAATTTATTAGAGCTTTGTTAACAAGTGTTGGTTCCTCAAATGTGGCAGATTTCTTAACAAAGCCTGCATTGTCCCAAATCATTCCAACCTATGTGGAATGGTGTGCAGCATGAGCGAGGTTGAAGAAGCAAAGGCAGTTCTTAGGATTTTTCCTGTATGGATGACAGTCCTTGTATTTGGTATTGTGTTTGCACAAGATTCCACATTCTTCACCAAGCAAGGAGCTACAATGGATAGATCAATTTTATCAGGCTTTATCATTCCTGCTGCTGCAATCGATTCATTTGTTCCCCTTTCCATCGTTATCTTTATTACCATCTATGATCGTGTATTCGTTTTTATCGCCAGAGCTTTTACAGGAGTACAGTCTGGTATCACAACGCTGCAGCGAATAGGAACTGGGCTGGTTATATCTGCCATTTCAATGTTGGTTGCGTCTATGGTTGAAAGGAAAAGATTAAGAATTGCAGAAGAGCAGGGTCTAGTTGATAGGCCTGACATAACAATTCCAATGAGCTTTTGGTGGCTAGTTCCTCAATATACTTTGTATGGTTTGGCTGAAGTTTTTACATTGGTTGGTCTCCAAGAGTTCTTCTACGATCAATGTCCATCAGATTTGAAAAGCATGGGGCTTGCCTTTTACACTAGCGTCTTAGGCATGGGAAGCATTTTAAGCAGTCTTTTAGTTTCTGTGATCGATGAAGCAACTGGAGCCAATGGGCAGAATAGTTGGTTTTCCGACAATCTCAACAAGGCGCATCTTGATTACTTTTATTTGCTATTGTCTGGGCTGAGTCTTCTAGCGTTTGTTGGCTTCCTGTTTGTTTCCACCTGGCATGTTTATAGCAGATGAATAAGTATACGTCAAATGATATGAAAAGTGTTGGTTTCAGAAGATGGAATGCTTCATACTCGGTTGAGTGTTGGTTTCAGAAGATGGAATATCTAATATTTTTTTCGCATGGAGAACTCATTAGATTGTTGCAAGCGGAACAAATCGGCCGTGCTCTAGAACCGATTTGTTATCGAGCCGCATTATTGGAAATAACAAAAGTAAGTTCTCATGAAACTGCTCGAATTTTAGCAAAAGCTACCCTCCAAGATTATATCGATCGGTTGTGAGGTCATAAAGAGAACTAGCGCACTGCGCACTGTTGGAGGATCACTACAACATTTCCTATTCATTGCAGCCTTGTATTATAGCATTTACCCAGAAAGACACAACATTCGAGTACAGGGAGGCTGTTCATAATTGTACTAAGCAGACGAGTGCCAAAGTTTTTGGTTTCCTTCTCGGTATGTCTATTTAATTCACCACATACCACAAAGAAAACCTCACGAAAAGTGTTATTATAAAACTATTTAAAAAACGAAAAAAAGATGAGACATGAAGATAAGATTCATGGCCAACTTTAAACACAAATTTTTTATGAAGAAAAATAAAAAATAAAAGGATTGCAAAAGCAAAAGGACGTGACGGTGAGCAAAGTCGTGGGTGGATTTAGTTCATTACTTTAAGCAATATTTATGATGCCAAAGCAAAAGGAAAGTAAAGGAAAAGAAAAGAAACTAAAAGCTCACATTCCATTGTCATTGCCACTATTGTTGGGCATGCACCAAGTTAAGCTTAAATAAGCTTTCATACATTTATTCCACCACTCCCAACTCTGCTTCCCATTTTCATTTGTATTTCCACAAACAAAGACAAACGAAACAGGTTGATTCAGCTCCAACTTCTCTGCCATGCCACCTACTTTGGCTCTCTCAGTGCTCCTTCTGGCCGCCATGGCTGGCCACTCAAGTAAGCTCTACCTTCCTTCTTCTTCTTTTTAATTTATTGATTTATATGCTGTTTTAAGGGTGGTGTATGGGGGTTGTGTTTTGAATAGGTGGGACGTGGTGCGTTTGCAAGGACGGGGTGGGCGACACGACGCTGCAGAAGGCGCTGGACTATGCGTGCGGGGCGGGGGCTGACTGCAACCCTATTCGCCAAAATGCAGCTTGTTTCCTTCCAAACACTGTCAGGGCTCACTGTTCTTATGCTGTTAATAGCTACTTTCAAAAGAAGGGCCAAACTCAAGGCTCTTGTGATTTTGGTGGTGTTGCTACCATCTCCACAACCGACCCTAGTAGGCACATTCAACCTCTTCCTAATTAATTAAACTTCCATAAAGACAATACAAAAAAATGGTTACTTACTCATTTCTCTGGCTTTCTGGCAGGCGCTTCTGGCTGTTCCTACCCTTCAACCGCCGGGTATGTTGCTTTTTTAGGATCTTCACTACATCTTTTACTTTTAATATGTCGACTTTAAACTCTCACTAGCCTCTTTTTTATTCTTAGATACCAATTCAAATCTCTAATCTTCAAAACAATATATTTCTTTATTCTAAAAAAAGCTATATAATTCAAGCTTTTAATTTTAGATTTTTTCAAACCTATCAACCTCCTCAAAGAACCCACAGCTGAGGATCCAATGGTATTTATTTTGTGGATAGTTTCCGACCCTTATGATAATTCTTAGTACAAACCCATAGAAAACCACAGATCCAATAATTTGATACTCTATTCCTGGCTAGATCATATTTTCGACTCATAAAGAAAGGAAGGAGTAGGAATTGAAAAAATTTGGTTTATAAACATCCAATTATTCAAACGATATTAGTTGGTTGTTGTGTCAATATCGTTTGAGAATAACATCCTATCCACACCAACACTAAAAATAAAATTAAGTGAGAGGGATTTCTTCCCCCTTAAGATAGAAGATTGGATAGGCATGCATGAATAAGTGCTCCACAACTTAACATCGTCCAAAAGCAGTATGGAGTTGCTTTATAGAATCTTTGACGTACCCATACCTAGCTTTGTTTCTTTGTTTCTTTGTTTCTTTTGGCTTTTTGGGGTAAATTTTAATCCGAGTCTGGTGGTACTCGATGATAATGCTCTTCCTTGTCAAAAGTTGCGACCCACCTGAAATTTTGTCTGCGGAGTCTTGAATTTAAATTAGGGCAATGGGAAAATTCAAAATCAGAATCGTTTTTTCTTTTCCTGTGTGGGATAGGGGGGTTCATCCCACCGTGATTTCTGGGGGACATATTTCTTTCTCATCCCTCTCCCTGCTTTTTAGGGTGTTGAGCCAACTTTTTAATTTTTGTTATTCTCCTTCTTGAGGATTGCGCCCTCTCTTTTCACTCCACTTGTTTCTTTTGTTTTTTCATTTTTACTTACTTTTAAAATTTGCTATATATAAAATTAATTCTTAAATTCAAATTTACTAAACTCAAATTTATTTCAAAAACTACTAAATAATTTTTGAAGTGTAGAGCTCATTTGAAAAATACATAATACAAATTTAGATGTTATTCCAGTGGCGGCGGCGGATCCACTCCGGTGACCATGACTCCGACACCACCGGGGACAACAACAGTACCCGGAATGACGTCACCTGTCGCAAGGTCACCACCAACTACCACTACTACAAATCCCCTTCCCAACACTGCATCTCCCACGGGGGTTTTGGGCGGCGCTGGCACCGGTGTCAGCCCCACCGGAGCCGGAACCACCACTACTGACGAGAGCGACGGCGGTTTCCGACTCCAACGTCACATATTCTTCTCTTTCTCAACCGTCTTCTTATTTAGCTTCATGGTTTGGTGGGACTAAATAAATGGAAGTACTTTATTTAGCTAGTTTGTAAGAGAGTTGTAAGAGCTTATGGTTTGTTTCTTCTGCTTTGGATGTGGTTAGTAGTTGATTAATTATCATTTAAGCAGCCTTCTTATAAGGCCTTGGATTTCCATTTTCCTTCACATATATTAATATATTATATAATATATCAAAGATTAAGGGTTGCACTGGAGTTTTGTTAAGAATGGTGATTCATGTGTTCTCTAAAGAAAAAAAAGGAGAGAGAAAGCTTTGCAGATACTTCTTACGAATCCAACGGCTCCTGTGAACGAGTAGTATATACAACAACCAACTCCTGCTGCTATTGCTCTCCTCATCGCTAATACTCTCAACATTGATAAACAGTCCCACAGCACCTCCAATTTGTACCCAATGGGGAATACAAACGGTTCACAAAAATCAATATTCATGTTTGTTGTTATTTTAAACAAAGTTGGATTAGAGACACAGACAAGTCTTCATTTTAAACGAAGTCTATATATCTCTGTAAATTGTTTGTTGTTACTTGTAATTCCCACAAAAATCAATATTCATGAAAAATAATCTAATTCATACACCATGGTCTAGCATAGATCAATAGGGAACACACATATTACCATCATAACTCAATATCTCAAAAATTCAATCTTTCACTCCATAATTGTTAGAACTCAGCAAGTATATGAAGACCATTTCCGTACGACTACAGGAATTCTAGATGTCGTTTAAAAACAGAGGTTGACATTCATTCTTAATCCCCAGTCAAAGGCAAGAAACTCATCGATAAAACTTGGGGTTTGAAGTCAAGAATGATTCTGAATAACATGTTTGATGAATAACATGTCAAACAAGATAAAAATCAACGCAGGGCCTTTTGGGTTCAGAGATACGAGGCATAAAACATTACACTAAAAGCAATTTGTTTTCACACAGCAACTAATTTCCTCAAGCCCTTTTGGCATAGTCGTCGTTGTTATCCTCATCCCCAGACTTCCCTCCGCCCAAAAAATCATCCCGAGTATTATCTCCAGAATCCAGTCCACCGCCACTCTGATGGTTACTGGTGAAGTCTGAACCAGAATCGGCAGAAAAATAGTTGTCCCCTCCCTGGGATGCACTACTGCGATTATAATCTGCACTTCCAATACCACCACCGCCGCTGTATCCACCACCACCGCCGCTGTATCCACCACCACCAACAAAGCTACCACGAGACCTTTCAGTTGCAAAGTTTACCCTAATGCGACGGCCATGGAGATCCTGGTTACAGAAAATTAACAATGACAGAGAACAGTACCCACAAATGAATTAGTCACTAACAAACCCATATCAAAGCCATACTGATGCCAAGAGACACCACATCAAATTACATTCTCAACACAAATGTTTACCTGTCCATCCAGTGCTTGAATAGCACTGGAGGCTTCTTCGTTGCCAACGAAAGTGACAAAACCAAAACCTCTGGATCTACCAGTATCACGATCCAATATGACTCTCGCTAAAACAAAGATAGACATTAACAAATATCAAATTCGCTCACCCAACAGTCTACATCAGCTAAAATGTGGAAGCGCTCCCACGAAAATTGATACTGTTAATTTTTTTTTTTCTTTTGATGTAATTCAATTTTGTGAAAAAAAAAAAAATTAGCTTTTTACTCAATAATGCTTAGTTAGAAAAGTCATCACACCTTCAACTACTTCCCCATACTTGGTGAAGGCTTCCCTCAGACTATGATCATCAGTACCATAAGAAAGGCCTGCAGTACAAATGAAAGGGATCTCAGAGAAAGCTCTAACAGACCACCAAGGCGTAAGAAGAAAAGAACAGCTGGAATTTCAGATAACCTCCTACAAAAACTTTTGAACTTGACATGAATCTAATAGCTTGAAAGATAGACAGCTGGGAAGGTTGCGAAATTGAACCAATCCTTGATGCAGAACTCTGACTAAATATTTTCCCAACTTTACTAAGAAACGCCATGCTGACGACCTGAAAGAAAATTACCCAAAACAATTAAAAACCATAGAGAACAAAAAATAGTTGTGCAAGATAACACCGTACCTGCAAATATGTTTTAAACTTTCAAGGTACATTAACTCCATAATCAAAAAGAAAGTTGTAGGTACTATTGTAAGATCCAAAATAAACATACATACAAACAAACAAAACCTATGGGAACATAAGGATCAAAGTTATCTCGAAGCAAAAAACAAAATTTTCTAGTACCCATAGGAAATCTTCAGTACTTAAAAAACTGCTTATGTTCTCGTAGACGCTTCAAAAAGGCATACGTAATTCAAACTAAAAACACTCGACAACAAACAGAATCATTCTTAAGCATAGCACATAAACCCAGAACGCTAAGAGTAGAGGTCTAAGCTTTCGAAATCAAGAAGACACATACACAACGAAAGATGAAAGAGAAATTTCCAATCAGATCATATCAAAGCTCGGTGAGGAGAATAGTTTTGGTATTTCATCGAACGGACACGTAAAATATCTTTACAGAAAGACGAAAGATCTAAACACAAAACAAAATCAATCAAAATTGAAACCCGAATGAATCAACATCAACACAGGAGATAAAATGAAAGGGACGAGGAATCGGAGTGGAGAATAAGACCTTTGTTCGCTCTCTTCCTTTCTTTGACAGTAGAGCTTAAACCCTAAGCCTCGGATTGGAGCGGGGTTTTGTAAATGCGGCAATGGAAGATGGATACAAGTAGAAGGCAAAGCTTACATGTACACCGTTGGATTTTGAAAGGGTGAATGGAGACCGTTCGATTCGATGAGGAGATACTGGATAGGAATTGACTTATCGTGCTTTGATTGGACAATAATGGTAATGCTAATTTAGTGTTCCTCATTAGCCCTGAAATCTTTGAGAATGACTTCGATTTCTAATTATATGACTTCTAACCCTAAGTCCGAAACAACTTTTAAACATAAGCCTAACCTATATAAGACCTTTTTATCATCCAAATAAAACAAGACTTCTAAATGAATAGAAACAGCAAAATGAAGACCGTTGAGGAAAGCTTGCGATATGGGAGATGGGAAGGTCTCCTTAAATGAGAGTCGGAAGCAAAACGAAATTCTTTCCCAAACTATACTTTGAGCCCGATTATGCTCCCTTTCAGTCTGGCTATAATGTGTCTACAACGAGTCCTTTGTTTCAGTTGAGGACAATTTGGAGGAAGAAAATCCCCAGAGGGAGAGTATGGCTGCCGTATATGTTGTAAACTTGGTCCATCCACACCTGATCCTTCATCTTAAAGCCATCGCAAATCTTGTGTTTACTTCAAATTGTATTCAGGAATTCTGCCAGGCTTCTGTTAATATGCGGAAAGATGCGTTGGATGAGTATTTGTTCAATCTCGAAATGGAAAAGTATAGCATCGATGATTTGGTGAGTATGGAATGGAATGTCTTAAACGTGAAGATCAAGAAATGGCTCAACTCTTGCTTCTGAGCTGCAGAATGAAATCAATAGCATGCCTGGCCCAATGGCTTTACCACCTTCAGTCGATCACTTCACATTTAATATCCAATTTGAATAACAAATCATTTAATATCCCTTTCCCCATTTGTCCTCCTTTTCTTGTCTTTCTATGCGCTTGTTAATTATGGAAGGGGATAAAGAACAGAAATGAGAGTGAGTATTGTAGTAGCAAGCAAAGTTTTTCTATGTCAAAGTTAACCGGCTTAAATTGACAAGATCCACAGAAATCATCAAACCTGCAGGAACTGATTCAAGGTCAAGTTCTAAGGTCTCCAGACAGAAACTGAGCAACAGGGGTGCAATCGTTAACCATCAACAATCAACCGTTCTTATTATATCTGCTAATACAAAAGCATCAGCCTCAAATATAAGAGACATATCTAGAACATCGAAAGGTTCAAAGAGCATTGTACAACAAAATCATCAAGGAAGAGCCGCGTTAGGAAGGAAAGCATGATGCCTAATGTTATCGACAACCGTTCTTATGATATATACTATTAGAAAAGCAGACATATCTAGAACATCAAAAGGTTCAAAGAACATTGTACAACAAAAACCTCGAGGAAGAGCCGCGTTAGGAAGTAAAACATGATGCCTAGTGCTATCGACACTGGGAGAGCAGGCAAAGCTTTCTGATATATTGCCAATAGCATCAAAGTGATTCCAAGACCAGCTACAATTGCAAGATAGCACGCATAAACCGTCATGTAATCATACATCGCTGCCCTGCCGACCAATACGCTATAGAAAATGAAGTCCCCTAGCCCCAACTTGATAGCCCCAGAGGATCCCAACCCAATTCCCTCTAACATTAAATTTTCATTTGATGCAGAAACTTCTTCTCCGTGTGGCTGAACGTTCCCTCCAATGTCAATTAATGGAACAAGAAGCTCACTGTTCCTTATGAGAACCTGGCCCTCTTCAGATCTAACAACACTTGATTCACTATTAGGATTTGAATCGGATGTTTCAATCTCATCTACACTTGATTCAGAAACCACATTGCCCTCGGAAACAGAATCGAGAACCGCAGGGAGATTGCCCGAAATTTCATTTCTTTCCCTCCATACCCTCATCCTTGTTTGCACTGCATCCCTAGGATTTGATTCATGATAAACCACTGGCCGAGCCTCATAAACCAAAGCTGGGATATCTTCATCCCTAGATATAGCAAGCTCAACTAACAGCCTCAAAGGTCCAACAGGAAGCAAAACTGCTGCAAGATCATAGAGAGCCAGTGCAACTAAAAGAGCCCAAGTAGTCCATTCGGGTAACAAAGTAAACCAATAAGCCACCAGCATCCCAATCAAAACCAAGTACCCTTGTGTTACAAGGATGGGCATTTTTGACATGAACACAGCCAAAACACCCACAGCAGCAAAATTGAAGAGAACAACCAAAAAAGTGAAACAATCAACAGGAACATCGAAATCTTCAATCAAGAACAATGCAATTTCACCTCCAAGAAAACCCAAAACGACAAAAGCCGAGAAACCCATATAATATTTCAAGAACTTGACGCATCTGAGGTAGAAAAGTAACACCATGACGAATGTAGCCACAGTTATGATAGCCACAAACACCAGGGAGTTTAAAAGAGCACCTGTAAATTTGTCCCACGAGGAATCGGAGCTGCTTTCATTATATGCAATGGTAGCGATGGAGCTAACTGTTGCAGCAGAAGACGAGGAGCTGGAGTTGAGAATAGAGACTAGAATAACCACCATGAACATGCAGATTGAAACTGGGGCGACAATTCTAATAATCTCTTCCCCAAGAGATTCAAGAATGCTTGTGGGCCTTTGATTTTGGGCCATCTGGGTCTTTATAATTACAGATCAAACTTCAACTCTCAAGGCGGAGGCTCTCACAACAATCTGAATCTGAAGGGAAAGATGGATTCAAGATTGATTCCACTCTTCGCCTGATGCTAAACTGGTGTTTCATCGAAGTGGCAACGCAGTCGTAACCACAAACACAGCATTCATCTTGCACGGGCACAAAAATAGCTTTATTGATTAACAATCTCAATCCCCAGAGGGTTCAATCTACCAATATTCTGCGTTCGTCTGACCTTCAACGTATCATCACCCTGGTTCGACCTAATTCCAGGGCCTGTTTGACTGTCTTCTTGGAATATTATTTTTGAGAATTTCCAAAATTAATTTTAAGTTAAATTATATAAATGCTTAATTAATTAATTAATTAATTAATTAAAAAAAAAACTAATAAAAATTCTCTTTAGATAATATTTTGTTTCAAAAGTACAAATTTTTAGAAGAGTATTAAAAATAGTTTCAAACTTAAAGACTTTTTATAATTTATGAAAACAGAAGAAAATTAATGCTATTTTAAAAATTTTTGTAACATTTTTTTTTTTAATATGATACTAATATTTTAAATAAAAAACTGAAGGAATAAATGAATCTTTTTTTTAAGTCATTATTCAAAATATTTTTTAACTAAACTATTAACATGTTTCCATCCAAAATTATTAATTGTAATAGTAATTTATGATTTTTTTAAGAATATTATGACATTTTTTTAAGAATATTATTAAAACTGTCATAGATATTTATATTTGAGTAGAATTTTGAATATAGATATTTATATTTGAGTAGAATTTTGAATATTTTTATTGATTTAACTGACTCAAAATTTTGAAATATTTTTATTAATTTAACCTCCGCCTAAAATACTCTCTAAGAGTCTAGAAGTTTCATAAATTTGTAATTGTCAGTCATACAAGCTACATAAATCTCAGTCATACAAGCTAAGTACATCTTTCAAATTTCTACGATAGTCAATAATCCAGGATATTATATAAGTTTGAGCCTTCCAACCCCAATGTCATAAATCAAAACTTGGAAAGCAGCAAGCCAAATAATCAATGAAAAATCTCAAACTTCCCAGGTATATAATAATAGCGAACTTCTCATCATTTTCAGAATAAATAACTGTCATCAAGCAATACAAAGGGCTGAGATCAATGAGCCAACAGTTCTTTTCTTTATTTATGGATCAATGGCCCAGGTATATAATAATATCCTTGTTCTCAATGCAATGTCCCAATTTACCTTGGTCTATAAACAAGTTTCACAATGTTGTTGTCCAAATGAAGCAACCGTATATACTCTGTCCTAACTTCTATACGGATTCAGCATCACAGAAATTTTATGCAATAAATCAGATGCATTCTGTTCTTCAGTATCATTTGGAGGGAGATTAGAGGTCCATTTCTTAAAATGATGGAGACTGCCTGTAAAGTCGGTGAAAATCCCATCGACTCTTATTGTGTTGATCCAGTAATCAAATTCCTCATATGAATCTTGATGAAAGTTGAAATGGACAAAGTTGTACTCATTTCTGAAAGTATATGGATGGACCTGCAATGAAAACCATGTCAATCAATTAGTGTTTACATATAAACCATGTGACACCATTTCATATCAGTCGCTTGTAAGTGAAATCTAGCAGCCTTTACCATCTATAAGATTCAACTAGTATTTAAATGCAATCATTTCACTTCCCACATGTGCATCCACATTCCATCTCAGTATAAGAATAAAGGACTTGAACGTGAATTATGTTTACCTGTAGGTTATGTGTGTGTGCTCGGGTTACAAGATCTGTAGGTGTTAGCATATAGTTGTTGACAGCAGGAACTATAGTATCCTTCCAAGGTCCAATTCCCACCACATACTTCTTTATGTAATTGAAGTAGCTATCAGAGGTAATTTCCCAATACGTCTGCACATTATCCAATACTATTTTTAAGAAGAAGCTTATTAAGAGCTAAGCCAAGAAAATAATATGAATTTATCACAGAAGATTTATCAAAAAGCAGTATAGAGCAGATTCAGCAACCACAGGAACATCTGAACTCTTCGGTCTTCTGACTGAAGTTGGATCTACTGTTCGATCGTGAAACCTTCTATGAGACCAAGTACATAATTTGTCTTCAACGGAGAAAAGGGTAGTACATTAAGAGTCAAGACAAGAAATTAATATTAAATTCTCAGAGAAGGTTTGTCAAGAAATCCACAGCAGATTCAGCAATCACAGGAACATCTAATCTCTTTAGTCTTTACACTGAAGTTGGAACTTTTGTTTGATTGTGAACCTTCTATGAGACCACAGCAGATTCAGAAAAGAGTAGTAATTCACACGAACCAAACAAAAACTCATCATGAGGTACTACTTGATGAGAATATTGTATATCCTTAAGCCCAAGGGAAAGTCCCGTTGGCTAAGGCATGCAGCCTTGAGTAACGCTTACCCCAAAAGGTCGCATGTTCGAATTTTTGGGTAAGTTCAAAGAGGAAAACTCATGATGTCTCCAAAGTTTGGACCTTGGGGCAGGCACAAAATTGTTAAATAAAAAATAAATAGGTATATCCTTAACTGGGGCCTTTACATGGAGTTGATCCATGTAACTAGATGCTAAATCGTTTATGATGTTTTCATCTAATGAGAAGTTTGATAAACAACAATGTAGCAGGATTATTTGACTGCCTTCAGCAGAACTATAGCTTCATACTTTTCCGAGACAAATAATATTTGTAGCACCAAAATTCAGAAAAATCCACAAACTCAAGAAAAATATCCAAGGAAAGGTTTGAAATACCTGATTTGTGTCCTGTGTTGGAATTGTAGTATCATCGATCAATAAGATCTGGGGCAGGTCTGTAAGATTTGATACGTGTATGATGGAAGTTGGAGCAAATGACTGAATGAAAGCAGGTTGTCTCAACCAATCTTTTGACAAATATGAACCTTTATATCCATGTTTCTTTAGAATCTCCACAAACTTGTCCTCAAATATTTTACCATCTCGCCATTTGACCTGTGCACATTTTACCCTGAAGTATTAGGGTTCAAAAGTTTTGCCAACAAGAAACCATTGAGCAACCATTGTACTACAGACACGCCGCATGTTAGGGGTTTATTTGAGATAAATGAGAACTAGACCAACATGCAATTTACTGCCCTTAGGGTCAAACCTATATTTTCCAACAGCATCGTCATTGAAAAGGCATCACAATCTTCAAAATATCAAAACCCTTGCAGGAAACCAAATTGCAGAAAACAGTAGAACGGTGGTTTTATAGGTAGCTTCAGAAAATGTTCAGTAAGTACTTCCTTTTGTACAAGGAAACTTACACGCTGGTTAATGAATACTGGATTTTTAATCTCTGGGTATATTCCAACAACTCTCGGTGCATCAAGTGCAATTGCAATGAAGTCCTCAAAAGTTATTATAGAAAATTTTCCTGAGTTCATAATTTAGAGAACATGTTTTGATTAGTATCATGCAAAAAGACTAGGCTCCAGAGATAAAGTAAAATATCTTCTCTATAACGAGGGATCAGAGTTCAAGAGAGAACTAAGCTCAACAAAATATTTCAAGTAGATGACAAGGCATTTTTCATTATGCTATAGGGGCAAATGGGTTATGTCACAGGAATTCGATTTTAGATTTTACCTGATATCATAATAGAAGATCACCATCTAATCATTTAGAAGGAGTTGGTGGTAATCCAAGACAAATATACACCAACCCAAAAAAAAAACAAGCGACCATAAAGTGAACATCAATAAGTGTGGAAGTAAATATCAATGTTGATTATGGCTAATTCAAACCCCTACCCGTTCAACTCCACTATTAGTCTTTTCATGTGCCTCACACTTAATTTTGGTGAGCATCAATCAAACCTAGGCATGAGCTAACTGAAACCAGTGTATATTTTGATCCAGTAAAGTTGGTATGTTGTTTGGTGCAAATCTAACCACAATATTATTCAGTTGTACATTAGGAAAGTAATAACATTTAGATAAGAGCAAACGATAAAGCTTGTTGGGAAACTAATAAACTTGAACAAAGAAAAGGATGCTTAAAGAAGAGATCTAATACCATTATGTTGTTGATCTCTGAAAGGATACCTCTGCTTCACCTTCAATGACTGTAATTCTTTTAGTGTGAAATCAACTGCATATAATCAATTAGAACCCATAAAAATACCATGAAATCAGATTGCAGCATAAGAACCCTAAAAGAGGTTTAAAGGAATAAGAAATAGGGGGAGTTGTAAAATACACATGCATAAAATTGAATATGCAGCCACTGTACCAGTGAAAAACCCAGTGATGTTAACTCCTTGGACATCATATGTTCTCCTACGATTGGCAAACTTTTTATATTTTCCAACATCAGTAGTCTGATCTAGCGTTACATCATGGAAGCAAATAAGAACTCCATCTTTGGAAGATAAGACGTCGGTCTCAATGAAGTCTGCACCCTCTTCTATAGCTCTCTGAAATAATTAGTTAAAGACAGAGTATTAAGACATAGAAGAGAAAAATTGAGTATACAAAGCACATAATTCGACGCACATAATTCGACTTCTCTGAACGAGAGCATATGATAAAAACAAGAATAAAAGCTCAGTGCCTACAAATTCCACGTATCTATGGTCGTGACCAACGAGCCTCAAGGTGTAATAATAGGGAACTTTACTAATATGCAATATATAGTGTTGTATTCTCAAAATCTAATACCCTGTTCGGACTGACTTTCTAACTACTTAAAAAAGTGTTTTGTGCACAAAAATTACTTTTTAAAGTCATCCAAATAAACCTTAACAAACAGATTATTTGGTCTCCAATTCCATGCAAATGCAAACATATACTTGATCTGCTTCCCTCTAATTGAATTATCTTTCAATAAATGGAGGATTCTTAACATTGATCTGACTAGTTTGCCGTTAATGTTTTAGTACCATTATCATGTGCAAAACAATTTCAAAAGTTAAGTGAGCAAGAAGTTGGAAAGAATACAGTTAGATGTGCCCACCTTATATGCAGGAAGAGTCTCTTCTGGAAATTCTCCATTTGAACCTCGATGAGCAATATTATATGGACGAGTGGTTTGAAGAGGCTGCCTACTTCCTTCAGGTAATCTACTAGGAAGTGGGTAAAAAGGCCTTGCAGCACACCCAACAATAAGTAGTACCAACATAGGAATAGTGAAGCCTGCCGCATCAAAGAAACAAAAAATCAATAATCAATTGTTAGCCAAAAGTTTAGCATGCATTAGAAAGAAGTGAACACTTGACCATCCTGTAGTGTAGGAAG